AGGTGCCTCCAACAGCCAGTTGACGAAGCATGCGGAACACCCCAGAAGATCCTCAGATGCCGTCGCGCGCCTGTGCTTGATAGCGTTGTCCAAGATCGTCCAGCGCCCCCCCGGCCTGGGCTAGAACCTGAGCGCGCGCGAAGCGCGCGCGATGGTTCTAACCCAGGGGCCCGAAAACAGCTGACCGACCCTCCATGCGAGTACAGGGGCTCATTTTCGCTGTGTTTTCACGGGGTTTCGGCGTCCCGGGACTCGGAGGCCGCCGCGATGGTCCCAGACATTTTCCAGATCCTCGGCGCGGGCTCCAAGACCATTCCGCAGAGGGCTCCAACAGGCTCCAACAGGCTCCAGGACAGCCCAAGAGGGCTCCAAGACGGCTCCAGGAACGACTGCAGGGTCTCATTTTTCTTTTGTTTTCTGCAAGACGGCTCCAGGAAGACTGCATGTCTTCTGAGGATGGCTTCCGCCTCTTGCCCCGAGCATCCCAAACTGCCTGAACGGTTCCCACTCGCCTTCCTCAAACCCAGCGCTTGCCCAAGCGCGTTCCGGACGGTCTTCGCCGGAACGCGCTGGAATGATCACGCGCTGCGGTTTCCCATGCCAACGTCCTCGGACGTGGGCGCCCTGCCACGAGCGCGTTCCGGGAAGATGCTCCTGGAACGCGCTGAAAAGATATGGCCACATCTCGGGGACGCTCCCGGCACTGCTGCCCCAGCCTTTCTGGGCAGCCTCCACAGCGCTCCAGGAGGGCCCAAGACGCCCCCTAGGAGCCCCCAGAATGCGAAAGGATGGCCCAAGACGCTCCCGAGCAGCCCAAGTCAGCCTTCCGACGGCTCTCGAGGCTCCCAGGTGGCCTCCAAGAGACCCCAAGAAGTCTGATAGGTATCGCGGTACGGCCCGGAGAGGCCAAAGTCGTATATCTTCAATGTTCTTTTCAATGTTTTTGGCTTCTCGCGTTTTCGAGCTCCCATCGGTCCAAGAGCGCCGAAAAGCCTCCATGGGGGTACTGGGGCTCATTTTCCCTGCGTTTTTAAAAGGGTTTCCGCGTCCTGGGCCTCGGAGGGCGCCGCCTCCGACCCCCCATGGGAGGAGGGGCGGCCGGGGAGGTCCAAAATAGTCCAGGAGGGCCTCCAGGGGCTCCCAAGACGGCCCAAGCGGGCCCCGAGTCGCCGAAAGACCGCTCCAGGACGCCCAAGATAGGCCCAAGACGGCCCGAGAGGCCCCCCAAAGCACTCCACGACGCTTCAAGACGCCTCTCCAGAGCGCTTCCAGAGGCCGAAATCGTCAAGTTTACGAAGGTTTTCGACCAATTTTGGCGTTCCAGCCTTTTCGGCTGTCCGACGTTCCACGACGGCTCAATAGGCCCCCAAGGGCGCCCCAAGACGGCCCAAGAGGGCCCCAAGACGGCCCCAGAGTCGCCCAAGACAGCCCAACAGAAGACGGCCCCAAGATGCGCCCAAGAGGGGGACCACGACTCCAAAATTCGACCCTCCCGCTTGAAGAGTGCCCCAGGAGGCCCCAAGGAGCCCCCAAGAGGCCCCAGGAGGCCCCCAAGAGGCACCCAGGAGGCCCAAACGAGGCCTAAAGAGGCCACAAAGCAGCCCGAGGAGGCCCCACAACGGTCCCAAAACGGCTACCGAGAAGCTACCGCGTCCTGGGCCTCGGAGGCTGCCGCCTCCGACCCCCCATGGGCCAGGAGGGCCTCCAGAGGCTCCCAAGACGGCCCAAGCGGGCCCCGAGTCGCCGAAAGACCGCTCCAGGACGCCCAAGATAGGCCCAAGACGGCCCGAGAGGCGCCCCAAGGCACTCCACGACGCTTCAAGACGCCTCTCCAGAGCGTTTCCAGAGGCCGAAATCGTCAAGTTTACGAAGGTTTTCGACAAATTTTGGCGTTCCAGCCTTTTCGGCTGTCCGACGTTCCAAGATGGCTCAATAGGCCCCCAAGGGCGCCCCAAGACGGCCCAAGAGGGCCCCAAGACGGCCCCAGAGTCGCCCAAGACAGCCCAACAGAGCCCCAAGACGGCCCCAAGATGCGCCCAAGAGGGGGACCACGACTCCAAAATTCTACCCTCCGGCTTGAAGAGTGGCCCAGGAGGCCCCAAGGAGCCCCCAAGAGGCCCCAGGAGGCCCCCAACAGGCACCCAGGAGGCCCAAGAAGCCACAAAACAGCCCCGAGGAGGCCCCACAACGCTCCCAAAACGCCTACCGAGAAGCTGCGAAACTGCCTTCCAACGTCCCCGACAGGCCAACCACGAGATCCAAAGCAACACCCATGAGGCCTCTGACCCACCACCCAGGGCACGGTGGCGGGAGCAGTGACAGCACTTGTGCACAGCATGTTCCGGCGGGAGCCTTCCGGAACACGCTGCAGGAGGAGGAGGAAGATCAGGAGGAGAGAGAGTTGGAGTGGGAGGAGGAGGAGGGGGACGAGGAGGAGGAAGAGGCCTCCCAGACAGCTCCAAGATAGCCGAAGAGGCTTCCAAGAGGGCCATTGGCGGCCCACGAGGGCCCCAAGGCGGTGCCTGAGGCGCCCAAGACGGCCCGAGAGGGCCCCAAGATGGCCCCAAGAGAGGCCCCAGAAGGGAAACATGAACCGAGAATCCGAGCTTTCTACCCCGAGAGGTTCTCGGGAAGTCCCAGGAGGCCCCCAATCGGATCCGAGATGGCCCCAAAGGCTTCCAATACCGCTCCCACATAGAGGCAGAGGCCTCCAAGAGGGTCCCAAGACGGTGCTTGAGGCGCCCAAGACGGCCCGAGAGGGCCCCTAGAGCCCCAAGAGAGGCCCGAGAACGGGAACGCGACCCAACAGCAAAGCGGTCCCCCCACAAGGCCCACAGGAGGCTGCAAGAGGCCCCAAAGTGGTCCGACGAGGACCCCAAAAGCTCCCCGAGGGCCCAAAAGGCCCCTGGGAGACGTCCAAGAGGTTTTAAAATAGCCCAAGAGTGCCCCAGATGCATCAAAACTGCTTCCAGGAGGCCCCCAGGAGGCTTCCAGATTGCCTCAATCTGGCCGCAGGTGGCCTCAAGTCGGGCCTCCACGCAGCCAAGACGGCCAATGACGGCTTCAGATTGCAGAACCGATGCCCCCAAGGGACCCTCAGACGCCCCCCCAAGAGGCACCCAAGAGGTGCCTCCAACAGCCAGTTGACGAAGCATGCGGAACACCCCAGAAGCTCCTCAGATGTCGTCGCGCGCCTGTGCTTGATAGCGTTGTCCAAGATCGTCCAGCGCCCCCCCGGCCTGTGCTAGAACCTGAGCGCGCGCGAAGCGCGCGCGATGGTTCTAGTGTGTGTGTGTGTGTGTATATATGTGTGTGTGTGTGATAGCCGATCCCGTGACATATGTGGCATGATGCACGTATTAAACGACATTTTTTGCCATCTAGGGGACGAGCGCCAATTCGACGCGGGTACACAACTCATCGATTTTAGTGCGCTTGCAGGTGAAGGGAACGATTCGGCACTAGATAAGTTTGAGATGGCCAGGCCTGAGGCCCGATCCGCTGGATTTGACATCTGCAATGTCCAGATCCTGGCCACGATCTTGTTTCGGGCCCTCCAGATAGGGCCAGTGCGCGCATCTCAGATGCTGCAGTTACTAAGCCACAACATGCCCAGGACCCAGGTATAATACGACTTCGCTACTCGAAGGAGTGCGATCAGTCGGCCATCTTGCCGGACGATCTCCCGGGACATCGGCGGGGCGTTTGGACGAGGGCGCGGCAGCGCGTCGCATTGTGCAAGCATCCAATCAGACCTTGCCTCTTCCTCGGCGGCATCAGCGGGGAAGACGCAGCGATTGGACCCGACGCGTGGCCAGGCCGAAGGCGCGGCCCTTCTCGCGGGCCAGGCGGTCGGCGGCCAGGCATCTCCTAGCAGCGACTGGACCTGGGCCAAAATGGCCAAGCTGGGCAGTCCTCGCCCTTCGCGGTCAGGTTGTCCGTCTTCTGGGTCGTCCGGCTGCTCGTGAGGGAAACGCTGTCCGCGTAGCCGAGGTAATCCCAGTGGGAGGTCGGATGTGGGGTGCGCGTTGGGCGCGGCGTCAGGTAATGAGTAGGGCGGATCGCACTGGGCGTCGGGGAAAGCGTCAGGGAAGGCGTCGGGAGGGGCATCTGTTGGCCAGTCGGTCGGTCTGTCCTCGCGCCCGTCCTGGCGGTTGCTGGGGTTGGCCTGGCAGGGAGGGTGTTCAGCAACACGTGCATTCAGGTCTCAATCAGGGTTGGGTACCTGGATCGAATGTCCAGGGCTTTGTGGCCTAACGTTTTGAGCAAGGCGGGTCAGTTGCTCTTGGCCGCCATGTGTTGCACGATTGGTTGGCACTCATGAGCTTCGCCACATGGTCGTATGGCCATTCTCATACTCATACTCCTCTTCCTCATTATGTTCCTCCTCCTCCTTGCTGGCCTTCACCTCCTCCTTCCCCCAGACAGGAGTATCGCCATGTCACTTCGCAGGGAGGCTCCTGGCCCCAGCTTGTCCGTACCAGACGGCGACGGCTCCATCTCAGACCAAGGTGAGTTTTCGGCGGCCTGGCGGCGACCGAACACCGTCACTCACGTGCTGTTTGGCGCACCTTCGGCACCCTTCGTTCGGAGGGGCCGAAGGTGCTGGGCGTGCTGGCAGTCCGCAGGCACGGGTGTGACAAGCGGCTCGGTGGCCCGCCACTGTGTTCTCTCGTTTCCTTGCCTTGCCCTGCACATTGTGCTTTGCAAAAACGTCCCCAGCAACAGTGTGCTCCTCCCCCAGTGCTTCCAGCACTCGCGGCGCCCGCCGCCCTGGGCGATGCCGCTGGCCACACCGCCCCGCGCTGCGACGGCCGCGGTGCCGCCCCGCACCGCGGCACCTGCAACGCCGCGAGGCGCGGCGCCGCGCGCCGCGGCGGGCGCCGCCGCGCGCGTCGCGGCGGTGTGGCGATCGAGCGCGGCGCCCGTGCCGCGCGCCGCGGCGGGTACGGCGGCGGCGCGTGCCCTGGCTGCGGCGCACCGAGCGCCCGGCGCGGCGGGGCGGCACGGCGCGGCGGCCTGCGGCGCGGTGGCGCTGGTCTGCGGCGGGCGCGGGCTGCGGCGGTCAGTGTCGGCGAAGCGATCCCCCTCTCCACTGGGGCCAGGGTGCCCCCGGCCCCCCCCCCCAGTGTGGGAGAGGCCGCGCGACGCCCGAAGGGAACAAGCACGTGTCCCCATCGAAGGGGCGGGGGTCGGCCCCTTGGGCCCGAGGCCGCGCAGGTGTGGACGGGGATCGGTCAAGATGTGCTCAGGCGGGCGGGCGCCGCGGTCGCTCGCGGGGCCGCGGCGGGCAGGCCGTCCTTCCGCCGCGGTCGCTCGACCACCGCCGCTCGGGGTCGGCAGGGGAAGCACCTCGCGGGGGCGTAGGCTCGGAGGGAGAGGGGCGTCGGAGGAGGACGATGTACCGATGCCGCTGCTCATCCTGGAGAGCTCTCGTGGCCACGGCTGAATCCTCCTCACAATTCGGGTCAGAAAGAACCTTGGGGAGAGATCCGCGGAGTACTTATATCGGCTCCTGGGGGAGTGGGAGGAGGAAGGGGGGACCTTGGGATCTAAATTGTACATGCCAGGCCAGGGACCATCGCACATTGTTTCGTCTCGAAAATCGCGGCATAATGTTTGGGTCCAGGGTTCCAGTCGTGTTTTCTGGCCCAGGGTTCCAGTTGCGTTTTCTCGTTATGCTTTTGGTTTAGCCAACGTCGGATTTCAAAGGAACAGCGCGGCGTGAGCCGAGATCTCCAGCGACACGATTGCTGTTGTCAACGTTGCAGGTCTCTTCAGTTTCGGCCCTCGGGGGCCAGTGATGGTTTCTGATGCTGGCCAATGCCACCCACATATGCCTACACCATGTGTGCGTCTCGCCCCCTGAAGGGGCGACGTGCGCCCAGAAATCATACAGTTTTTGCGCTCGGTGGCGGGCGCCTCCTGGTTTTTGCCGCTCCGGGGAGGGGACACGCCACGGACGTGTTGTTCGCTCTATTCGGACGCACGCCTCCGAGGAGGACGCACAGGGCTGTCATGCCACTCTGCGTCCCGTCTGGGGCGGCGGTCTGAAGAAACCATTTTGGAGGATGCCTGGGCCCTCGGAGCCTCGGAGCCGGAACAAATAGTGCGGCGTCGGGGCGTACATTGACGGAGCGCCGCTCGTATTCGGCTGCTTGCGGCAAGTCCCGCCACCGTGCCAGCTCAGCATGCTCTGCGGCTCTCCTTCGAGCGGCCCCGGAGGCCGCACTTGCGAGGGATGATGATGCTCATGCTCATGCTCATGCTCATGCTGATGTTGATGATGATTAGTTTGATGCTGATGCTGGTGATGATGATTATTATGTTGATGCTGATGCCGATGCTGATGCTGATGTTGCTAATGCTGGTTGTGCTGATGATGCTGACGCCGATGCTGAGCTGATGTTGATGCTGATGCTGATTGTGATGAATGTGATGATGGTGGTGGCGATGATGATGGTGGTGGTGGCGATGATGATGATAATCAGGCTGAAGGTGATGCTGATGCTAATGTTGTTGCTGCTGCTGATGATGAGGAGGATTGCTGCTGCGTCTGATGATGATGGTGGTGAAGCTGATGACGACGTAGACGATTCGGATGAGGAAAATGAAGCTAACGATTGTGATGAGGACGGCGAGGTCCAACATGATGATGATGCTGATGATGTTGATGATGATGAAACAGAAGATGAGGATGCGTACTATGATGATGGTGGTGATCGTGATGATGATGATGATGATGATGATCTTCCTGGAACTGATACTTAATGCTAATAATGTTGCTGATGCTGGTTCTTATGATGATGCGGGTTGATGCGTCTGATGATGAGCATGCATGTGATGATCATTAATATGATTACGGTGGAGATGCTGATGATAGGGTTGACGATGATGACGGTGATGATGCTTATGATAATGCTTATGATGTTGATGATGGTGATGAGTAGCATGATCATGATGATAATGCTGTTGGTGTTGATGATGGTGACGATGGTGACGACAAGGAGGATTATCATAACGATGCTGATTGTGCAGCTGGTGAAGACGATATTGATGATGATGATGATACTGATGGCGATGATGGTGATGCTGATAATCATGATGATGGTGGTTTGATGATGTTGATAAGGCTGATGATGGTGATGCTGATGACAATGATGATGGTGGTGATGGTGATGGTGATGGCGATGGTGATGATGATGGTGATGATGATGATGATGACGATGACGATGACGATGACGAGGATGATCGTTGGGATATCGTAGGAGCCCTCTCGGGGACTTGTTGGAGGCAGATTCGAGGTCTCTAGTTGGCCGTCTGGCGCCATCTTGGAGGCCTCTTGGGGGCCTCTTGGGGCTCCTTGGAGGCCTATTGGGGTCTTCTGGGGGTCTCTTCGGGCGGAAGGCTGGAATTGTCGGTTCGTATTCCCCCTCTTGGGGCCGTCTTGGTGCTCTTGGGCTGATTTGGGCGCCTCTTGCGCCGTTTTGGGGCTCTCTTTGGCCGACTAGGGACCCTCTTGGGGGCTTCTTGGGCCGCCTAATTAGGGGCTGTCTTTGGGTCCCTGGGGCCGTCTTGGAGTCTCGGCAGCTTGAGAAGGAAATAATGTTGAACACATCGAAACGCGCGATGCAAATCATTGATGGTTGCCTCTTGGGGCCCTCGTGGGGGTCCTCTTGGAGCGCTCTCGGGGCTTCGTTGGGTCCTCTTAGGCGGTCTTGGAGACATCTTGGGCCATCTTGGCGGCCTTGGTGGCTTTCCCGGTCCGTCTTGGAAGGCATCTTGGGAATGTAGGACGCTTTGGAGACCGCCACGGACGTGTCTTGGCGCCGACAGAGCCTCGAGAAGAGGGGGGCGGTGCGCGCGACGAGGTGCGACCCAGAGGGGGGGGGAAAGCCTACCAGACAGCACGTGGCATTCTAGCACGCCTCAACGTGCCAGGGGGCACGGTGGTTGATCTCTCGGGTGTGCGCTCGACGCCCCCCTCTCCGCATGCCCCGCGGCGCCAACTCGGGCGTCGCCACTGGCGAGTATGGGGATCGGGGGGTTGGATGGGTTTTCTGGGGGTGTCGGTGTGCGTTGGGGCTTGAACTCGAGTTCAGAGGAGGTCCAAGCGATCTGCGCTGACCTCCGACAGTTGATGTTTACGTTGTTGTTGCCCCGCTAGTGTTGGGGGGGTGACGGTGTGCGCGTGCGGGGGGGCTGAACGAAATGTCGGGAGAGTTGGCATGGGTGTGTGTTTTCCTTCGCCTCAACCCTCGTTGGAATGCAGCTCCTCGGAGGTTCAATTTCAGGACTGACGCTTTTGTACCCGTTGCCGAAAACTGGCCAGATCTGGCATTATCCAGTTCAAGTTTGCCAAGTCGCTGACTCCAGCTCGGACAAGCTCAATCGTGGGCTGAATCCGGGAGAATCTGGCTAAGTGGCCCCTTAATCGGGATTAATGCCTTCAGTATTTCGCGCAGCACCCTCGCAGGCGTTGCCTTTCATTTTTTGCCACACTCAAAAATGGCAATTTGAACACGGCGATCGTTCCTTGCCGCCGCGGCTGCCTGTTCGGCCTTGTTGGGGGCACTCTTTCGCTGTCTCCCCAGGACATCCTGGCCCAAGTCCTGCGGCGGCTTTCGCGCCTGACCTAAATCCGTCCAAGTCTCCTGGACACCTTCGGGGTCCACCCCGACAAAGTTTTCGAGGTGCCGACTCGAAGCCTCCCAGAAACCCCAAAACGCCAGAGAGACTCTAAAGCGAGCTGAGGGACGTAAGGAGTGAAGCGAGCGTGCGCCCGCGGCCGCGTCGGCTCAAGCGGCCGGCCGCCCAAATTTGACTGTGCCTCACTGCGGGGCACATAATCGCTATCGAGACCAAAAAAGATATTCCTATTGTTTGAGATGGCATTTTCTCTCATATTGGGACTATCGCTACTACGGTACAGCAGAGTTGAAGCTGGGCTTCGCCTGAGGCGAAGCTGTTGGCTGGGCCTTCCAGCCCCCTTCAAACGTGGTAGCGGAGCTGGCCTATGGTGGTCAGTTTTAGCTCTACTCCTCACCATCAACGGCACTATCTGGTGGACTACAGATATGGTGGAACATCAGGGTGCAGTTTGATTGCGCGGAGGAGTATATACAACTACGCAGTACCGCAAGGAAATTTGCAGCGATACCTCTTTCCAAGCGGAGGTCATTCACTCACATCTTAAATTCCCTGCGCTATTACACTCCTGAAGTTTATTTAGTTACTCGAATTGGAAATTTGTTCGAATACATAATGCATGGAAACATATACGACATAGCACCGCCTCCGGCCCCACGCAGACTTACGACGACAAAGCATAAGTCCCCACCGACTACATCCGACTACGACCTACGAGGCCATTGGATTGGGGCTACTATCTTTGGGCCCATATGGGTCGCTATTGGGCGTGCGGTAGGGCATATGCGGTGCGGAGACGACACTAGAACGACTGGCCCCCATTGGGACCCTGCCTGTCAAGTACCATTTCGCGAGTTCGTCCGCGAAGTACATGCCTGGATCAATGTAACCATAGGCAACATGTCGCCCTCCCAGCAAGCCGCAGCAGTGCAGCGAGGTTTGGCAGGTCTCGCACGGACTATAGCCATGAGAGCCCCCCCCAGCAGTGATTAATTTTGGCGTCAATATAGGCGGTCGCCACACCGACGGCGCCACCTGCATTCTGTTCCTCTTAAGCACGAAGTTCGAGAACCTAGACGAGGAACGCCAACTCAACTCTGGCACGGCTTTGATTGATTTTCGAGTCCATGCGGGCGAACGTATCGACCAGACGTTAGCACGGTTTGAGATAGCCCACTACGAAGCTGAAACCGCCGGCTTCAAGATCCCCAAGTTCGAAATCCTGACAGTAATTATATTCAGAGCTCTTTGAGTTGGGACATCGCGTGCACAACAACTCCTGCCGAGGGACCAACCACAATTTGACGCTCTACTTGAACGTATAAGGTCATGCGCTCACATAGATGAGAGGACCCCTGGCAATATTGGCGGTATCTTTAGCCGCGGTCACCGAACAAAGACCTTCCACGCAGAGACCAACGCAGGGCAACCTGCCAACAACGTCTGGAACGATGGTCCACAGCCAACTGAGCCCACTACGCTGTTGGCTCAGAATGGTGGTACGGCCTCGGGGTCGCAAGACCCCTGGGCCAGATCTAGGCGACCGCCCGACGCGGCTTCCCTTATACAAGCCATGACCCAAATGGGCTCAGCGGGGCAATCCGCCGAGTCCGACTTCGACTCCGGTAGCGATGCGGATGCGTCC